AATGAGAAAATATTTAATAAGAAAATATATTTGTACAGTGGTACAAAGTATTTGCCTTTTAAACTAAGTATTATTACAAAAGAATCAAAGTTAAAAAATATGGAATAAAAAAATGTTACACCGGGCTAAGGTTAATTTATTATTGAAGGAAGATTAAAAAAATAAATTTAGTGTTGCCTAAGCATAGTATTTACAGTGTACAAACAATGCAAGATAATTCCCAGGCCTTCATATCCACTCACCACTAACCACTCACTGATTCAAATGGGGCAACTTCTAATCCTGCAAGGTCCACTCATGTTAAGTGCCCCATACAGACTGTACCATTCTTTATCTTTCATATTCTATTTTTACTGTACTTTTTCTTTGTTTAACTATGCTTACATACCCAAATGTTTCCTATTGCGTCACAGTTGCCTACAGTATTCAATGTATAAGCATGCTAGCCAGATCTGTAGCCCAGGAGCAGCAGCAGGCTATACCACACAGCCTAGGTATACAATATGCATTTCTCAGAATGTATCCCTAGTGTTGTGACCTATGACTGTGTATCAAGAACACATTTGAATCTATTAAAAGATTAAAAATATATATATTCAGAAGAGGAAATATATATTACAAATCTGAAGAGCAAAAATTGCTTGCTTGCTATCATAAAACTTCTGGGAAGAGATGGTTAATAAAAGGGATCCTTTGCACAAGATCTTAAAGGAGGCTATATATACATATATATGAGTATATGTAAGAATTACACATACAATATGCAGAAAAACCTAACTCATGATGCAATAAGGATTCAAATTTTTAAATACCCCAATGTATATAAAAACTCAAAAGTTAATGAAAAAATGGTGAATAATTCTTCTAATCACATATCCTCTTTTTTTTTGTTGTTGTTGTTACCAGAAACTGAACTTAAGGGCCATTTACCATGGGCTATAATTCCTTGTTCTTTTTTTTTTTTCTTTATTTTTTGTTTTGAAACAAGGTCTTGATAAATTGCTTGGGACCTCACTAAATTACTGAGACTGGCCTCAAACTTGTGATCCTCCTGTCTCAGTTTCCCTAGTAACAGGGATTACAGGTATGCTCCATGATGACCAACAATACATGCACATCCTCTTTACAAGTTGCTAGAAACTTAAGATTGAGCAGTATGGCAGAGATAAAGTAAAAAGTCATTATTTTATTCACACCTTGTTTAACATTTTATAACTTTACAAACTCAGTTATAAACAGAAATAAGGATGATTTTTCATTAGGGAAAAAATTTAAGTGGCATTAGCACAATTAAGCAAAATGGATCAATTTCTCTTTATTCTGCCTCATTCAGGTCATTTGTCAAATTATTTATTTTAAAAATATCTTTTAAAGCCAGGTGCAGTGGCACATGCGTGTAATCCCAGTGGCTGAGGAGGCTGAGACAGGAGGATCAAGAGGTCAAAGCCAGTCTCAACAACAGCAAGGGACTAAGCAACTCAATGAGACCTTGCCTGTAAATAAAATTTTAAAAAGGGCTAGAGATATGGCTCAGTAATTGAGTGCCCCGAATTCAATCCATGGTAACCCACCACCAAAAAAAAAAAAAAAATCATTTAAAGATATGCAATATTTGTGCAATGACCTGCTAAAGGCTCAAGATTCTGTGCCATCCGTTTTAAAAGAGCCTGATCAGCTTTCAGCAAGTTCTTTCAGAATCTTTGTTTGTTTAGTCTCAAGTGTGCTTTATACATTAACTGTGGAAGGTCCATTCATCAAGGCAATCATATACATTTGGGCATGCTGAATTATTTTTTTCTAAATCTCTACTTACAATGGAGATTATAAGAATACAAATGCAAATAAATAAATTAAACTTTAGAACACAGAACCTAGCTTGTGCTCTAGGAAACCAAGGGAAATTATACATTAATTTTAAATATCTCTCAAAAAGAAAAATGTCAATCAGGTTTTTATTTGTCTCATTGCTCTTTCCAATCCAAGTAGTATTTTTCTAAAGCTAATGATATGTTGACAATATATCTTTCCACAGAACAATGGATCAAAAAATGAGAATGATTCCTTAGAAAATTCCATTACTAGTTCCTTACAAAGTTTTTGAGGGTTCAACTCCAAGACAAACCAATCCTCCTTGTTAGAATGAAGTCAAATCACAGTTCATGACTGCATATGTTATGTGGTATCCTTGGTCATATCTACTTTTTAAGCTATTATAAGAAGCCTCCAAAAGTCCATAAGAATGTAAAACACACAATAATACAAGGATTTTTAAAATTACTTCTTTTTCGAATAGGCTGAATTTCTTTTTCGAATCATTATACAAGAAGTGGTTTAGAGCTCTGTGTCATGCATTTGGCTTTGCAAGGTAAGTTAGTGAAAGGGTGTGTGACACAAGTAACAGTCTTATTGAACTGCTTGAGTATACCACTTTTGTAAAACACATTTGAGAATTATATCCTCAAATGTAAATTGAGAATGTAGAAAACTTGGCCAGGCTATGTCTTCAACTTATATTTAAAAAAAGGCAGGGGTGGGGGGTGGGGCTGACAAACAAACCAGATTCACAAAAGTACTACATGGATACAGAGTAGATTTCCTAGTACAAAGATGTTACCCAGTCTAATAAAGACAATGTATTTAGTATATGAAGAATAGCCAATACACAGTATTATTCAATGATTAAAGTAAAAATATTTTAAAAGAAAGAAAAAGACAACCCATAGAATGAGAGAAAATAGTTGCAAATCATGTATCTGATAAGGGACTTACATCCAGAATACATAAAGAACTTTTATAACTCACCAATAAACAGATGACCTAATTTAAAAATGGGCAAAAGATCTAAACAGACATTTCCCTAAAAAAGATCTATAAACGGCCCAAGCAGCACACAAAAAAATGCTCAACAGAACGACACAAATCAAAACCATAACGATACATATTTCACATACCCAACACTATAGCTCTAATTATTTTAAACATGGAAAATATTAAATGTTAGTGATAATGTGGAGAAATAGTAACCTTTGTGCATTACTGGTGAGACTAAAATGGTGGAGCTTTTTGAAAATGGTTTAGCAGTTCCTTAATAAGTTAAAACAGAGTTGCCGCAGGACCCAATAATTCTACTCCTAGGTAGTTTCCCAAACAGGATAAAAACATATACCCACACAAAAATTTTTTGTATATAAATGTTCATAGTAGCAATGTAATAACAATAGACTGAAACAACCCAAATGTTCATCAGCTGATGAAAAGAAATGGCATATTTGTACAATGAAATAAATACGGCATATTGTACAATGAAACACTATCTTGCAATAAAAAGAAAAGAAATGCCACAACAGGGATCAAACTGGAAAATATTATGTTAAAAGCAAGAAGGTAGTCACAAAAAGTTATATAATATGGGATTCCACTTATATATGACATCTGCAAAATAAGTAGATAAATTAGATAAAAAGCTGGTTGCCAAGAACTGGAGGGAGGAACGAGTTATACTGGTAAGCAAGAGGTTTCTGAGGTGATAAAAATGTTCTGAAATTATATAATGGTGATGGCTACACCAGGAGCATTCCTGTTATACCCCCAGCCCTTTTTAAAATTTTTGAGATAGGATCTTGCTAAAATGCCAAGGCTGGCTATAAATTGTGATCCTCTTGCTTCAGCCTCCTAAGTTGCTGGGATTACAAGTATGTACCACTACTCTCGATTTGAACTGTACACTTTTTAAAAGTGAATGTTACAGTATATGAATTATATCTCAACAAAGCTGTTATTTTAAAAAAGAAAGAAAAATGAATAAACTGAAAAKGCATAGTTTTTTAATAAGGATATGAATATTTTCAGTATATATTTTATTAATAACATCATGACTATGCTAGAAAAGTAAGATCCTTTTAGGGATCTTAATGTTGACACTGAAATTGGAAAAGTGTGTTTGTAAAGGAAACGTAAAGGAAACGTAATTTGGGGAAGTTTCGGGCCAAAGGGACTGGTTCCTCAGGCTTCTAGGAAGCTTTTCCCAAAATATATGACTATTTTGAGGATTAAAAGATACCAAAATGACCACAGATCTCTGCTTTCCATATTCTTTGCATGTCTATTCATTCTTGTTCATGTTTTAATTTCTGGCCTATTAGATTTAAATCATGAACTCAAACCCCTTTGTTACGTAAATAAATAACAATATTTACTGTTAAATAAATAATGAATGTTAGAACTAAAGAATATTAGGGCTGGGGTTGTGGCTCAGTGTTAGAGCACTAATCTAGCATATGAGAGGTCCTGGGTTCAATCCTCAGCACCACATAAAAATAAATAAATAAAAGTATTGTGTCCAGCTACAACTAAAAAATAAATATTAAAAAAAAAGAACATTAGAACTACAGGTGTAGAGTTCTAATATCATTCTACTCTCGTCTCAATTCATTACAGTTAGGCTCATATATTGCAAAAATATATTATCTGATTCTTTTAAATTTTGAGAGAAAAGATCTAACACTTCTTTTAGAAATGTCTGTTGCTGTAAAAAAAATATTTCAAGCTATCACATCCACTAAAATGATTACCAATGTGAAGTTGGTTCAGATAAAGCTGGTTCTAATGGCTGGATCTATTTTCATCATATGCCTTATCAACATCATGTAGCCTGAAACAGCAACTAAATACCTTGATACTGAGAGGAGAGCATTTTAAAAAACTTTAAAACCAACTTCAAAAAAATTCAACTTAAGGTCAGATATCAATCTTAAATCTAGTCACATAGAATCAATAGCACATTCTCAAAACTGTCCTCTCAGCCCTGAGATATATTAACTGGATGAATGGCCTCAATTCAGATGAACTTCCTGCATATTATCACCTGGATGAAATGTATTTCATTATTTCTAGCTTTCTGAGAATGAAAAGGACTGAAGCAATAGTCTTGGAAGTGCTGACGGCGCAGAATTCTCTGACGCACATAGATGAGGGACTCACTATCGCCTCATGTGCCATACCTGGTATGCACTGCGCTGTGGCCTCAGTGGTTATAGTTGGAGCAACTGGAGGCTGCTGCTGACTGGAGCTCACTTCTGGCTCTGGGTTAACTGAGGGAGAGAGGGCTACCTCACAGGATGAGACCTGGCTGGGCAGATGAGACAGGAATTCTTCAGAAGCAACTTGATCATCCTGTCCAGGCAGCTGCAGGGCAGACAAAGGGATACTGATCTGTTTGTTAGGATGGGATGTGCTCACAGGCATCTGCATGGCCACCTGCTGGTTGGTGCCATGGGTACCAGTGGGTCCTCTGTTTGGTGACGCCAGAGATACCCTAGCAGTCTTTGGGACAACTGGTCTGGAGATCACAGAAGGAGATGCAGACATACCATGTGGGTCTAGCTCCGTGTTGATGGCAGATGTTACATGGGAAATCAACTTAGCAGACCCCACACAGGAGGGACCAGCATGAGTCTGAGACTTGGGTTTTGCCATCTGAGTCAAGGACAGGGCTGGTCCATCTACCCCTCCAGTCAGCTCTGCATTTGCCACAATGTAATAATCTTCTGGAATTTCTTGTTTGATTTTCTTGATGATGACGTCATTGCTGCATTCATCAACCATCTGTGTCTGGGAACTTGAATGGAGGGAAGACGGAACTATTCCTGGCCTTTTGCGAGCAATGYTTTGAGGTCTTTGGGTTTGGGGTTCAAAGTCACTATCCTCATCTGTAACAGAAGACTCACAAACCATATCAAACAGGGTGTTTTCATCCTCATACTCTTCAACAGCTTCATCCAGTTCAGAGGGCTCACTGCAATAAGAGAAGTCACAAGAGTCTCTGGTCCGGTTACAGTCTAGCTTTGCTTTCACTGGTCTCCCAGGGTACCTTTCAACAGGGCTAGTTTGTGTCTCAGAAGGCACCCCAATTATACTGGGACTATCAGAGTTAAAACTTCTGTTGTCCTGGAAACAGACCCTTTCTTGGGACCCAGCTCTACAAGTAGCTGTTAGTGGCCAATGATAAGCATGGCCAGCACTACAGCCCCACATTGCGGTCAGGTTCCCATGGGAACCTTCAGAAAGCAAGTGTTTTAGGTTTGGAATGAGGCTGCAAATGGTCCCATGGCTATGGGCCCAGCTGACCAATTTGGACAGATTCTCAGATGAGGTATGAAGACAATCCTCCATGTTACAGGATCAGCAGTGTCTTTCCTAAAAGGAAATAATCAAAATAAGAAACCATTATTATCTGACATTCCCATATCTCAATTAATTTCTTCCAACTATGATCATCTGTCATAAAAAAAAGAAATGCACTTCAGAGTTGGGCATGGTGCCATATGCCTATAACTCCAGCAACTCAGGAGTCTGGGACAGGAGGATTGCAAGTCCAAGATCAGCCTTAGCTACTTAGTGAGACCCTATCTCAAAATGAAAAATAAAAAGGGCTAAAAATGTAGCTCAGTGGTAAAGTTCCTAGGTTAAATCCCCAGTACAAAACCAACATAACAAACAAAGCACTTTGAAACTGTACCTAGTTAGTATCACTGCTTTGGGGCAGCAACTGGAAAGAAATATGGAAAAAAGTAAAAACAATGACTTATGGAGACAAATTTTGCCAGTTTCCTTTATAGCTATAATAATGGCTACACAAAAGAAAAAAAAAACAAAAGAGGGAAAGAAAGAAGAACTAATTAAGCAATTAAAAAAAGAGATAAGCTTCTTTATGGTACATTTCCTTTCCAAAGTGACAGAGAGGTTTAGTTAGCCCCTTAATACTGAAATGTGTGTATTACGTGTATTAACCAAGAAGATACCCTTCCACTGCTACCCTCTAGAAACTTCATTACTAAAAACAGAGCCAAAAAGGTGGTTTGAGTCCATTCTAGGATGGATGTCAAAGAGAGGGCATCTATGCTCTGCTGGGTACCAGAAAACAAGGGAACTGAAATTCAAGTAGAGAATAAGGACTTAAACTTAATCAGCAGGAGAAGACTCTCTGACAGGGCAGGCTGTAGACCATCAGCAAGGATAGCCAGACCAGGGTCAGCCACTGGTAGAAGCAGGATTCTACCAGTCTTGGCTATCTGAAATTTCTGAAATATTCCAATTCATTACACAGAGGTAAAAGGCATGTCTGAAGTGTTCCACTATCCAAGGGTCCCGTGAACCCAAGGATAAGCAACTACCAAATAGAAATAAGTCATTTCTTATTTGGCAGGACTTGGGATCACTTATATGGGTCCTTGGCTGGGTGAGAACAGTGAGGACAACATGATGGGCAGGAAAGTGAAAGGGGTATGTGGAGTCTGCAAACACTCTGAAAGGTTAACAGGGCTCTGTCAAGAAGGAGATCCTGGAAAGCTGGGCAGGGAGGTGCAAGGATCTTTATGAAATTATCAATCTATCTGTGGTGCTAGGGATTGAACTCAGGGCACTCGACCACTGAGCCATATCCCGGCCCTATTTTGAATTTTTTTTTAGAGACAGGGTCTCACTGAGTTGCCCAGCACCTTGCTTTTGCTGAGGCTGGCTTTGAACTTGCCATCCTCCTGCCTCAGTCTCCCAAGCTGCTGTGATTACAGGAGTGAACCACTGTACCCAGCTAAAATATTTAAAAGTTTGGAAAAAAAACTGCTTTACAGGAACAAAAAAAAGGTTCGGGTATAAAAGTATTATATCAGTTTTCCAAAACCTGACAAAGCTAGTTTGGAGCCATGTAACAGTGAATGCCTGGTTGGCTTCTACCTGAATTCAGTTCCCACAATCTGTACAACAGTCCTTAAAAGTGTTACTCCTTACAAGGTTCTGAACTTTTCAAAGGGTTTGTTTTAATACTATTAGATCTCAATTGCTGATGGATGATAAACTTTCTACAACAGAAACTGAGGACAACAGAACAAAACAAATCAAAACAAAACTTTTCTAAAAGAAAGCTCAAATGGTTTCATGGTTAATTCTGTTAATTCAGGTGGAAACAATAAAAAATAATGCAAGTATTTTCAAAAGAGAGGAGGAGGGAGTACTCAACCTGTTTGAGAGCAACATAATGCTTATACCAAAATTGTGACAAAGCCTTTACAATAAAGAAAACATTCATAAAGAATATTGATGTAGGGGCTGGAGATATAGCTCAGTTGGTAGAGTGTTTTCCTCAAATGCACAATGCCATGGGTTCAATCCTCAGTACAAAAAAAGCAAACTGAACCCAACAAGGTACATATTGGTAATACATTGTTTTTCTTTTATTTGTTCTTTTTAGTTTTACATGACAATAGAATGATTTGGACATGTCATACATAAATGGGGTATAGCTTCCTATTTTTTGTGGTTGTACATGATATGGAGTTATACTGGTCATATATTAATATAAGAACATAGGAAAGTTATGTCCAATTCATTCTACTGTTTTTCCCATTCCCATCCACCCTCCCTTTCTCCCACTCCCCCGTCTGATCCAGTGAACCTCCATCTCCCCCTCTCCCATTGTCAGTTAGCTCCATATATCAGAGAGAGCATCTGGACTTTAGTTTTTTGGGATTGGCTTATTTCACTTAGCATGACAGTATCTAATTTCATCATTTACTGGCAAATACCATAATTTTATACTTCTTTATGGCTGAATAATATTCCATTGTGTACAGGATAGGTAATACATTGTGACCACATAAAACTTACTCTAAGAATACAAGGCTGAATGTTCAAAAATCAGTGTAATTCAATGTGTTAACCATCCATGGGAGAAAAACTACAAGGTCATTTCAAAAGATAAAAGAAAACTCAATATTCATTTATGACAGAAACAGACACACCTGTAACCTGTAATCCCAGCTGCTGGGGAGGCTGAAGCAGGAGGATCATGAGTTCAAAGGCAGCCTCAGCAATAGCAAGGTGCTAAGCAACTTAATGAGACTATGTCTCTAAATAAAATTCAAAATAGAGCTGGGGATGTGGCTCAGTGGTTGAATGACACTGAGTTCAACCCCCTTACTCCCCTCCCAAATTAAAGAAAGAAAAGAAAAACACAACAACAACAACAACACTTAGCAAACTGTAACAATAGGGCAACATCCCAAATAGATAAATGGGCACCTATGAGAAATGCACAACTAATATTATACTTATATATAAGACTGAATTATTTCTAAGATTAAGAATAAGTCAAAAATATTCTTCTGTAACACTTCTATTCAACATTGTATTAGTAGTCCTAGCCACTGAAATAACAACAAGAAAGAGGGGAGGGGAAAGGGATGGAGAGGAGAGGAAGAGAGGAGAGGTAGGAGAAGAAGAAAAATTAGAAGAAATAAAACTGTTCCTATTCRTGAAGATAAGGTAGTTTAGGAAGAAACCCAAGAGAATTCACAAAGCAACCGTTAGAACTTGTAGTTGGAGAAATGAGTGATATTGGCCAAATTATAACAACATTGTAATACTTTGTGCATGCACAGATATTTGAACAACAAATTCCATCAGTATGTAAAATTATGATGCACCAATTTAAAAATGTGGGGAAAAAAGAACTTGTAGTTGAATTTTGCAAAGTTGCATGACATAATATTTTTTTAAAGAGAGAGAGAATTTTTTAATATTTATTTTTTAGTTTTCAGTGGACACAACATCTTTATTTTATTTTTATCTGGTGCTGAGGATCGAACCCAGAGCCCTGCGCATGCCAGGCGAGCATGTTACCGCTTGAGCCCCATCCCCAGCCCAGGAAATAATTAATATTGAAAAATCAATTCTCGGGCTGGGGATGTGGCTCAAGCGGTAGCGCGCTGGCCTGGCATGCGTGCGGCCCGGGTTCGATCCTCAGCACCACATACAAAGATGTTGTGCCCGCCGAAAACCAAAATAAATAAATAAATAAATATTTAAAAAAAAAATCAATTCTCTATATGCAAGTAGTAAAATACTGGAATATTTTTTTTTTTTTAAAGAGAGAGTGAGAGAGGAGAGAGAGAGAGAGAGAGAGAGAGAGAGAGAGAGAGAGAGAGAGAGAGAGAGAGAATTTTAATATTTATTTTTCAGTTTTCGGCGGACACAACATCTTTGTTTGTATGTGGTGCTGAGGATCAAACCCGGGCTGTACGCATGCCAGGCGAGCGTGCTACCGCTTGAGCCACATCCCCAGCCCTATCTATTTTTTTTAATGTGGTGCTAAGAATCAAACTCGGTGCCTCACATGTGGGAGGCAAATGCTCTATCACTGAGCCACAACCCCAGCCCAAGATGTCAAAGACTTCTATACCAAAAATTACAATAATGAGTGAAATTAGACTGATCAAATAGATATACTCTATTAGTGAAGAGTCAACATTGTAAGGTTGGTATTATTCCCTAATTGATATGCAGATTTCAATATAATTCCAATCATGAAGGTCTTGCAGGTCATGCAAAATAATTTGGACTTTGTTACACAATTAATAAAGTATATAGTTTTAAGGAAGAAGGTAACTGGAATCATTCTGATTATAGATGGAAGAGAGATGGACTAGAGGAAATTTTGGAAATTTGATACAGCAATTCAGGTAAGGTATAATAGCAACTTGCCTTGAATAGCAGCAGATGGATGGAAAGAGCACAGATCTGAAAAGAAGATAATGGAAGACTGGATATGGGAGATGGGAAGAAGGAAGAAGTTGTGATGCAGCTCACCATCTCTCTGGCAAATTGACCCAGGCTATGTCCTTACTTGAAATATGCATTCATGACATACAAACTAGATATGCCTTTGCCAGGAAAACAATTGATTTTTGAAATAATTTTTAGTGAGGTTTCTACTGTCATGGAAAAAAGTTGCCTGCGTTAATTTGATACTGATATTATATTAAAAATGCTTCAAAAAATATAAATGCTTCTAAAATATTCATTCATAAATACCTCAAAATTCTCAACTCTCCCTTAATTTCTATAGCATATACTGAATGAGTTTTTACTATATACTGTCAGAAGAGGATTAACATTAATTATAATGGCATTCCATTCATTCAAATTGATCTAACAGCAATATTATTCAATCACGTGTAAAGTGGTATTCCCATCAATGGGCATGATTTGACATGATGATTCATGCTATATAGTTCACTCAAAGAAAAACAGTAAATAGAAAACCTGAAATTTCTGTCTCAAAGTGAATGACAAAATAAATATATATATATATATTTTAGATGTAGGTGGACACAATATTTTATTTATTTTTATGTGGTGCT